GAAAATATTACACATTGACTTACAATAAAATTTTGTTTTTCGGCAAGAGAAGAAAAGTCTTGAAAAAAACACAAATATGTTTCTTCACACACAAAATTTTCTCCTAAAAGAATCTCTTTAAAATAAAGATCGTCATAAGAAAGAAAACAAGGTCCGACTGTCTGTTGATTTATATGATACCAAGTGTACAACTGTTGTAAAATATATTTTTTAGGTATGTTTTCGCTTTCCATTGACTTAATTCGGTAAGTTTCGGATACTGAAAACCGAAAGTATGCGGAAGGATAACAGAAGTTAAAAAAGAAGAACTCTCTCTGAAAAGCTTAGAAAACATAGAATTCCAGTAAGTCATTAACGTTTTAAAATGGCCAAGAAAAATGAGATGCATGGCATCGTAAGAAACCATTATGGGTAAAATTAAAATGTTAGAGAGAGGAGTAGTACCTTTTATTCCCAGCACACTATGACGAGACTGAGCTAGTTTTGCTTGTTCCAAATAAAATTGGTGATCTTTTACAGGTGCCGCTGCATCGGAGAAGGGAAATCGTACCTGACGATTAACGGTCACACCTGTTATAGTACAGTCGCCACATCCGTTGAAACCATTATACTGGACTATGTTTAAAAAGTGTGTACGAGCTGGGAAGTCGAAAACAGCAAATTGAACTCTGACATTGTATAACTGAAGTTGTCCTTGACTATTTTTTATATAGATACCAGACTGAATTAATTGCTCTATTTGTAGAATTATATCATTAAGAAGCAATTCTCGATCTGGTTTAGAATTCGCAAGCCAACATGATAAGATCATAGTTGCATTTTGCCAGTCTCTGAGAGGATATGGGAGTTCAACTATGCTGGCTTGGACAGGCCAGAGAGATTTGCCTGAACGAAAAAGAAATTATAGAAATACATCAGTTGGTTTATATAGTCGAAATATGCAATTGAACCTACGTTTCCAAGCTGAGCCCCATCACTGTGAATCAATAACGACAGGTTTGGACAGGCAGCCTTTCTGGTAAATATTTGTAAACAGCACCTATGGCAATTAGAAGAATAAAAAACATTTTATTTTTCGTAAAGCAATTAACTTTTTCACACAGAGTGTTGTTGAAATCGGTCAAAAAATAAAAACTGCATATTCGCAGGAAGATGTTTTTCAGCTAAACTAAATTATGCGGCAAGGCTTTTTTCTTCTGCTCAAAAAACGTTCGGCTTGGTTTAGTACCCCTACTGATCAGGTAAGCCGCTTTTTGAAAGAAGTTGTGCAAAACGTTCTCACGCCGAAATAAGTTGAAAAGTTATTTGAAAAAAGCTCTTTTTTCCAAAAATAAATCCATCAGAGGGTTTTCTATTCACACCAGACATGTACACAGGACACTTTCTTTTTACTGTCCTGTCCTTCTCTGTCTTGCAGGACAATACAGGATGGTTGCTGCGGCAGGATTCGAATGATTTTTAAATACTCAAAAAACATAGCAAACGGTGTTTTTTACAAGAGTTTTTCGAGCAAAGATAAAAGTTAGCAGGTGTGCTGTTTTTGAAACACAAAAGTCCGATTCGAAAAACAAATACGGCAGACCTTTTTTCATCGACAGAACTGAAGATAAATGAACAGTTTTAACTAGAGACTACTTGGTTGACGGAAATATTTTCTGTTTTGAATGTGTCAACTAAGGTTTTGAAACACAATAAGGAAAAACTTATTTTGCCGGTGAAATACAGAGATAATTTTCGGAAAATTAAGCTTTATTGATAAATCAGGACATTTTCTTTTGTTCTACCCTGTCATGTATCCCGTGCTGCTGTGCCCTGTCCTACGGCAGGACAGGACGAAATAAAAAATTGCTGTCCGGCTCGGTCTGGACAGCAGGTTGTTTTGTCCTCTGTACATCTCTGGTTCACAGTATATTACTATATTAGAAATGATAAAAAATACGGAGCAGAAATTTTTAAGCAAAAGATCGAAGCGAGAAATGTGTGACAAAGTAAGATAAAAAACAAATTTCTAAATAACTAGTGCTGAAAATAAGCAGGAATTCAGTTCACCTGAAGTCAGATCACAAGATGTTGATGTTGACATAGCTATATTTGTTTCTATAAATGTCACGTAACGTTCTGCTACTCTTTTAATTTCATCTTCTACATTCATTACACACAATTCACCAATTTGACGGAAACTTCTTCTCTTGTTATTCTGTGGACAAGTACTGGAACAGGAAGTGTCCGTTACATTCATCAGACGAGTAGTGCATGTACTACAGTAATATTGAATATCCTTCAATTCATTACATCCGATCACATTGAAGAGTGTTTTGCATGTTTTTGGTAATTTATTTGTTGCAGGTAGAAGAGAACTAACTGTGTCTAATAATGACTTCACTCCGGATTTATCCAAATTGAGTGTATTACATAATTTAACTAATTTCATACATGAATCGTGAATGGTAATATGACTTTTCTCGTATAATGGAGTGCTGTAGAAAGAACTGTTGGACTTTAAAAAATCATTTGCATCAAAATCGTCGTCGTCCTTGACATCTGAATCGTCATCGCTTTTCATGTAATTAGAGATGCACCGGTTACGATTAACCGATAAGCGGTTTTAATTCATTAAAATCACCGACATAAATCTAAAACGGAAAAACATAGTATTTTAACATCAAGAAGCCTTTTCGAAACTGAAGTCATCTTACAAGCTTTTCAATTTTACGTTCAGCCGATTCTGCTTTACTTTTCTTCGGAGGACGTCCTTGCCCTTTCCCAAATTTTTCCTGTTTAGTTTTGACAATTGCTGATGTTTCTTGTAGAAGACGACGTTTATTTTTGAACTTTTGTTTGATCGCTTCACGCCATTCATTCTAAAACAAATAAAAATTACTCATACACGCTAAAAGAGAAGTATACTCTTACCATTGCATTTGAGTTTGTGATTGGAATCTTTAATGCTTTAAGTAATGCTTGTGTAATAATAATATAATCACTATTCACAACATCTTTAAACACAGCACTGAGCAACATGCGATGATGATTCGTACGTTCGCGTAGTTTGGTTAAATCGTTTTCATCGACGATTGATTGTATTTACTCTGGTAATGTTGTAGCATTACTTAAAGCATTAAAGATTCCAATCACAAACTCAAATGCAATGGTAAGAGTATACTTCTCTTTTAGCGTGTATGAGTAATTTTTATTTGTTTTAGAATGAATGGCGTGAAGCGATCAAACAAAAGTTCAAAAATAAACGTCGTCTTCTACAAGAAACATCAGCAATTGTCAAAACTAAACAGGAAAAATTTGGGAAAGGGCAAGGACGTCCTCCGAAGAAAAGTAAAGCAGAATCGGCTGAACGTAAAATTGAAAAGCTTGTAAGATGACTTCAGTTTCGAAAAGGCTTCTTGATGTTAAAATACTATGTTTTTCCGTTTTAGATTTATGTCGGTGATTTTAATGAATTAAAACCGCTTATCGGTTAATCGTAACCGGTGCATCTCTAATTACATGAAAAGCGATGACGATTCAGATGTCAAGGACGACGACGATTTTGATGCAAATGATTTTTTAAAGTCCAACAGTTCTTTCTACAGCACTCCATTATACGAGAAAAGTCATATTACCATTCACGATTCATGTATGAAATTAGTTAAATTATGTAATACACTCAATTTGGATAAATCCGGAGTGAAGTCATTATTAGACACAGTTAGTTCTCTTCTACCTGCAACAAATAAATTACCAAAAACATGCAAAACACTCTTCAATGTGATCGGATGTAATGAATTGAAGGATATTCAATATTACTGTAGTACATGCACTACTCGTCTGATGAATGTAACGGACACTTCCTGTTCCAGTACTTGTCCACAGAATAACAAGAGAAGAAGTTTCCGTCAAATTGGTGAATTGTGTGTAATGAATGTAGAAGATGAAATTAAAAGAGTAGCAGAACGTTACGTGACATTTATAGAAACAAATATAGCTATGTCAACATCAACATCTTGTGATCTGACTTCAGGTGAACTGAATTCCTGCTTATTTTCAGCACTAGTTATTTAGAAATTTGTTTTTTATCTTACTTTGTCACACATTTCTCGCTTCGATCTTTTGCTTAAAAATTTCTGCTCCGTATTTTTTATCATTTCTAATATAGTAATATACTGTGAACCAGAGATGTACAGAGGACAAAACAACCTGCTGTCCAGACCGAGCCGGACAGCAATTTTTTATTTCGTCCTGTCCTGCCGTAGGACAGGGCACAGCAGCACGGGATACATGACAGGGTAGAACAAAAGAAAATGTCCTGATTTATCAATAAAGCTTAATTTTCCGAAAATTATCTCTGTATTTCACCGGCAAAATAAGTTTTTCCTTATTGTGTTTCAAAACCTTAGTTGACACATTCAAAACAGAAAATATTTCCGTCAACCAAGTAGTCTCTAGTTAAAACTGTTCATTTATCTTCAGTTCTGTCGATGAAAAAAGGTCTGCCGTATTTGTTTTTCGAATCGGACTTTTGTGTTTCAAAAACAGCACACCTGCTAACTTTTATCTTTGCTCGAAAAACTCTTGTAAAAAACACCGTTTGCTATGTTTTTTGAGTATTTAAAAATCATTCGAATCCTGCCGCAGCAACCATCCTGTATTGTCCTGCAAGACAGAGAAGGACAGGACAGTAAAAAGAAAGTGTCCTGTGTACATGTCTGGTGTGAATAGAAAACCCTCTGATGGATTTATTTTTGGAAAAAAGAGCTTTTTTCAAATAACTTTTCAACTTATTTCGGCGTGAGAACGTTTTGCACAACTTCTTTCAAAAAGCGGCTTACCTGATCAGTAGGGGTACTAAACCAAGCCGAACGTTTTTTGAGCAGAAGAAAAAAGCCTTGCCGCATAATTTAGTTTAGCTGAAAAACATCTTCCTGCGAATATGCAGTTTTTATTTTTTGACCGATTTCAACAACACTCTGTGTGAAAAAGTTAATTGCTTTACGAAAAATAAAATGTTTTTTATTCTTCTAATTGCCATAGGTGCTGTTTACAAATATTTACCAGAAAGGCTGCCTGTCCAAACCTGTCGTTATTGATTCACAGTGATGGGGCTCAGCTTGGAAACGTAGGTTCAATTGCATATTTCGACTATATAAACCAACTGATGTATTTCTATAATTTCTTTTTCGTTCAGGCAAATCTCTCTGGCCTGTCCAAGCCAGCATAGTTGAACTCCCATATCCTCTCAGAGACTGGCAAAATGCAACTATGATCTTATCATGTTGGCTTGCGAATTCTAAACCAGATCGAGAATTGCTTCTTAATGATATAATTCTACAAATAGAGCAATTAATTCAGTCTGGTATCTATATAAAAAATAGTCAAGGACAACTTCAGTTATACAATGTCAGAGTTCAATTTGCTGTTTTCGACTTCCCAGCTCGTACACACTTTTTAAACATAGTCCAGTATAATGGTTTCAACGGATGTGGCGACTGTACTATAACAGGTGTGACCGTTAATCGTCAGGTACGATTTCCCTTCTCCGATGCAGCGGCACCTGTAAAAGATCACCAATTTTATTTGGAACAAGCAAAACTAGCTCAGTCTCGTCATAGTGTGCTGGGAATAAAAGGTACTACTCCTCTCTCTAACATTTTAATTTTACCCATAATGGTTTCTTACGATGCCATGCATCTCATTTTTCTTGGCCATTTTAAAACGTTAATGACTTACTGGAATTCTATGTTTTCTAAGCTTTTCAGAGAGAGTTCTTCTTTTTTAACTTCTGTTATCCTTCCGCATACTTTCGGTTTTCAGTATCCGAAACTTACCGAATTAAGTCAATGGAAAGCGAAAACATACCTAAAAAATATATTTTACAACAGTTGTACACTTGGTATCATATAAATCAACAGACAGTCGGACCTTGTTTTCTTTCTTATGACGATCTTTATTTTAAAGAGATTCTTTTAGGAGAAAATTTTGTGTGTGAAGAAACATATTTGTGTTTTTTTCAAGACTTTTCTTCTCTTGCCGAAAAACAAAATTTTATTGTAAGTCAATGTGTAATATTTTC